GGGAGGGATGGAACTGCACTCCAGCTGAATTTGTCCATGGTATCACAGAACTGATGATGTGGCAGCCTAGAAACAGCTGCTGGAAACACTCCTACATATACACACAGCACTGCAGACATTTCTTTTCAATTCTGTGCAATATGATTAAAGAATGTGCTCACTTAAAAGAAGTCCAGAAATAAATTATTCAAAATAGCATATGGGTTTTATTTCATAATACACTAAATCAACACATTGTGATGAGGGTCAGGAATGTGCACAAATAGCTTCAGTGGCACTGCTCCTTTGTTCTTGTTAACCCATGACCACTTAAGAAGATACTGTCAGGACATCAAAGGCCTGAAACACACCTTTGTGTTGTGGTGTATGGGCGTTCTAAATGGCACCTCAATGCAGTTCCAACACACTAAAATGCATACTAATGACCACACAAAAACAGTAAAGTGTGAACAGGACCACCTAAATAGTTTAATAAAATATCACTTTATATTATTCACCATTAGCACCTCTACTAAAAGAAATCTTTGCTTTACTGCAGAGGTTAGAGTCTTCAGCATCCTATACTTTTTTAGGGCTGCAACGATTACTTTCATAATCGATTAGTTGGGCGATTATTTTTTCGATTAATTTGATAAAAAAATATAACATCCTTAAGTTAAAATAAAATATACAAATGCAGCGTTAGTTAACTTCAGAATAAAACAGTATGCAAATTTTTTGCACTCACACACTGGAACGCGTGGCATAGCACACTGCGCATTCCAGAGCAGGTGATCACAGTGCGGGAGAGCCGTTTGGGATGCCATTGAAATTAATGGCACCACAACGCACATTCCGGAGCAGAATTTTCAGGCCACTTACACTGGCTTAAAGGGAAATAGTTATACTGAACAAGATTGATGCCAGGAATATGTAATGTACAGCCCAGTGTACAGAGTGCAGGGGTCAGAAGTATGTTACGTACAGAGTGCAGAGGTGAGTATGTAATATTCAAGGCTGTGACACACTGCACGCAACGCACCACTGAGTGGTGGTGTCCTGCCTTCACGTGCAGTGTGTCATGTAATTTTCTCTCCGGCACGTCAGCTTGCGAGAGTTCGCATAGCTGAACGTGCCAAGATGAAAAATGTAATCTTCAGCCAATATAGCCCATTGGCTGAAGATGCAGTCATTCATTTGACTGCACTCAGCTCACACACTGCATGCACAGCTCTGTGTCTGACAGCTTTGCTGAAGTATGTAAAGTACAGAGTGCAGGGGGTCAGGAGTATGTAAAGTATAGAGTGCAGGGGGTAGGAGTATTTAAAGTACAGAGTGCAGGGGGTCAGGAGTATGTAAAGTACAGAGTGCAGGGGGTCAGGAGTATGTAAAGTACAGAGTGCAGGGGGACAGGAGTATGTAAAGTACAGAGTGCAGGGGGACAGGAGTATGTAAAGTACAGAGTGCAGGGGGACAGGAGTATGTAACGTACAGAGTGCAGGGGGACAGGAGTATGTAACGTACAGTGTGCAGGGGGACAGGAGTATGTAACGTACAGAGTGCAGGGGGACAGGAGTATGTAAAGTACAGAGTGCAGGGGGGCAGGAGTATGTAAAGTACAGAGTTCAGAGGGTCAGGAGTGTGTGAAGTACAGAGGGTCAGGAGTGTTTGAAGTACAGAGTGCAGAGGGTCAGGAGTGTGTGAAGTACAGAGTGCAGAGGGTCAGGAGTATGTAAAGACTGCAGGAGTCAAGAGTAGGTAACAAACAGAATGCAGGAGATCAAGAGGGTATTATGTACACAGTGCTGGGGTCCGGAGCATGTAAAGTAGTACGCGGCCCGCATTGCGCAAAGGGGGCCAGGAGTAGGCGACCCGCAGTGCGCACAGGGGGCCAGGAGTAGGCGACCCGCAGTGCGCGCAGGGGGCCAGGAGGAGGCCGCCCGCAGGGGGCCGCGGGGGGGCCGGGAGTAGGCGACCCGCAGTGCGCGCAGGGGGCCAGGAGTAGGCAACCTGCAGTGCGCGCAGGGGGGCCAGGAGTAGGCAACCCGCAGTGCGCGCAGGGGGCCAGGAGTAGGCAACATGCAGTGTGCGCAGGAGTAAGGAGTATGCAACATACAGTGTGCGCAGGGGTCAGGAGTCTATAGATTGTATAACAGTGTTGTGTATGGATTGTGGCTCAGTGTGATGAAGTCCATGGACTTTAGTACAGTAGCACAGTGCACTGTGAAGTATGGATGTGGTAGAGTGCTGCTAATGGATTGTAGGTTAGTGTAGTGGATGGATTGTGATATAGTATAGTGCAGTCTAAGGATTGATCTGCAGTGCAGTGTATGGATGGTAAGGAAGTGCATGGATTGTGGTACAGTACGCTGCAGTCTATGAATTGTAGTACAGTGCCGTGTATAGATAGTAGTGCAATGCAGTGAATGGATTCTGGTACAGTCTATGGATTGTAGTAAAGTGGAGCATATGGATAGTGGTACAGTGCCGTGCAGTCTATGGATATTAGTACAGTGTAGTGGATGAATTGTGGTACAGTGTAGTGCAGTCTCTTGATTGTAATGCAGTGCATGGATTGTGGTAGTGTGCTGCAGTCTATGAATTGTAATACAGTGCATGGAAGGTAGTGCAGTGCTGTATATGGATGTTAGTGCAGTCTATGGATGGCGGTACAGCGCGGGGCAGTCTATGGATGGCGGTACAGCGCGGGGCAGTCTACGGATTGCGGTACAGCGCGGGGCAGTCTACGGATTGCGGTACAGCGCGGCGCAGTCTGCGGATTTCGGTACAGCGCGGCGCAGTCTGCGGATTTCGGTACAGCGCGGCGCAGTCTGCGGTACAGCGCGGCGCAGTCTGCGGTACAGCGCGGCGCAGTCTGCGGTACAGCGCGGCGCAGTCTGCGGTACAGCGCGGCGCAGTCTGCGGTACAGCGCGGCGCAGTCTGCGGATTGCGGTACAGCGCGGCGCAGTCTGCGGATTGCGGTACAGCGCGGCGCAGTCTGCGGTACAGCGCGGCGCAGTCTGCGGATTGCGGTACAGCGCGGGGCAGTCTACGGATTGCGGTACAGCGCGGCGCAGTCTGCGGATTTCGGTACAGCGCGGCGCAGTCTGCGGATTGCGGTACAGCGCGGCGCAGTCTGCGGATTGCGGTACAGCGCGGCGCAGTCTGCGGATTGCGGTACAGCGCGGCGCAGTCTGCGGATTGCGGTACAGCGCGGCGCAGTCTGCGGATTGCGGTACAGTGCAGTGTATGTATTGTAGTACAGTGTATGGATTGCATTACAGTAAAATTAGCACAAGAGCAATGCTCAATTGTTAATAATGGGCATACAAACTATTTTGTGTTTGATCAGGGGTGTGCGATTCCTATCGACCAAAGCCTGGTACGTGACGTTCCCGAGAGAGAGGCAAGTGGGTTTTTTATCTACATTCAGCCCTGCTGCTGGCAAGCAATGTAAAATGTTAACCAGTTGACATCCGCGGTGTTAAACCCCCTTCCTGGCCAGGCCATTTTTCAGTATTCAGCGCTGCGGTACTTTGACTGACATTTATTCCGTCATGCAGCGCTGTACTGAAATTCATTCTATACCATTTTTTGGGGACAGATAGAGCTTTCTTTTGGTGGTATTTAATCACCACTGGGGTTTTAAATTTTTACTATATTAAAAGGAAAAATTACCGAAATTTTACAAAAAAAAAAGTTTCCCCTATATTAAATGATGAAACATTTATTATTACCCAATGTTTTGGTAAAATATAAAAGACGGGGTCAAGTCGGGTAAAAAGACACCAAACATGTCAAGCCTTAAAATTGCGTGCGTGTGCGAAACCTCAAAAAACGATAATACCCAAAATTGGCCACAGGCGACGCTTTAAAAGCTTTTACCGCTCATCAGTTTAGTGTTATCAGTGATTGATGGCCCTGGAAAGGAGAGTGGAGGGGGGGGGCGGCAGACGGTCCGAAAAAACGAGCGGGGGACCGAAAAAACGAGCACATATAGACGATCGGCAGGCTATTGAGCCGCCGATCGTCTACATGTGAAACACCCGATAACGGGTGTTTGCATTGCACAGATATCTCCTGCTCGTGCGCACCCGCTAGGGGGCACACGCGAGAAGAAAAAAAATGCCGTCCGGAGACGGCAACCCGCCAATGCAGCAGTGCCGTCCGTCCGTTTTTTTTTCAACGGGCGGACGGCAACTGGTTAAGGGGAGCCGCCGCTCGTTTTGCACAAGTTATCTGGGTGGCTATACAGCCGCCAGATCACTAGTAGCAGCCTCCTTGTCCCCTCCCCGCTGTGGGGCAATAAAGTTAAGTGGAAACATTTTTTCAAAAAGTGATAAACGATTAGAATAAAAATACATTAAAACCAACCCTGCCGCCCCGTCATCTGCATGTAAATAAACGCACGCATAGGGCATTGTGTGTGCTCGCTGAGTGCTGCCCCCATTCCACAGTGTGCCATATTGTGGTAGCCGGGCAGCAGCTAACATGCACAATGTGCATTACAGGGTAAGTTCGCTGTACAAGTATTTTGGGAAAATGGAATTAAATGCTCAAATCTGCCCCCCCCCCCCATATCCCATACTGTCCGTACCCCCATACTGCCATCCAACGCAGCCCTGCGCTATGGTTTTTGAATTTCGCTCGCAGATTGCGAGCACTCATTGGTTAGCGTGGTCACCTGACCTATGAGAAGCGCACGGTTAACAACGGTCTTGGTTAAAATGATATTGTGTATTGCAAAGTAGATTGTCATGAGTCACAAGTAGATTGGGCCCGCTTCAGTGCTTGGACAAGTAATTTTTTATTTTTGAGATTTGCACACCGCCCAGTTCGATGTACAAAAAAATGGAATCTAATTACTGCTACCAACCTCAATGGCATGATTATTTATACCCGGATAGGGTCATGCCTAGGATAGCAATGTGTATATTACACTACACACACTTCCTCCACATATTACACTGACCACCACTCCATGACACTAGAACACAGCACCGCTGCGCTCAGCTCTCACCTCATTATTCAGATTCAGCACCGGAGCCATGGCGTCTCGCTCTCAAGGTTCGCTCTGACATAGAAGAACACACGAGTAAAGCACGGTATACCGCACGGTACACACCGGAGCACACGTGTCTTCCTGTGTCAGCCCGAAACACACGAGGCGCGCATGCGCAGCTACGGAAGCCGTGGAGGGGACAAACTAGTGACGATAGGAAGAACCGCACATCTGGGGAAGGAGGCAGTGTAGGGAGTCTGAGCGAAAATGTCAGTGATAATAGATGAAGCACAGACAAATAAATAATAATGAACTGCAAAGGAAACCCACCTTCCTGTCTTCTGTATAGAGTTGTTAGCTGTTCCTTATTTCCAGGGTTAGTGTAAGGTTTTATATCTGGAACTGTAGGCGGCTTTCTATTTTTAATAGCACTGAAATGATCAAGAGGGACATTCTTTAATACGACTAAAGGTGCCCATACACTGCACGATTATCGTACGATAATCGTATGCGATCGGTTTTTCGTACGATAATCGAGCAGTGTGAACGGAGACGTGCGACCGTTTCTACTGTACGGTCGCACGTCTTCTGTCGAACCAGCATGTTCGAAAACCAGCCGGGAATCGTACGATTCTCGGCTGGTTAGAATGGTGCTCGGAAGACAAATGCCGAACGGGCCGGTGTGCGCACACTGCCTGTTCAGCATTGCGGTCATCGGAAGCCCGCCCCTCAGGGGGGCGGGCTTGCGATGATCGAGAGTGCGATCTGCCTGTCCAAGATAGGAAGATCGTACGTTTTTTTTAATCCCTGTACAACCATCGCAAGACTAAAGTCTTGCGATGGTTGTAGAGTGTATGGCCACCTTTATGTAGGGAAAGGATGCACCTGTAGTGACACGGACCATAGAGAATTTATACTATGCTGAGAATGATCGGTTAAAGTGTAGCTATAGCCACATAGTTTTTTGTTTGTTTTGGATAGAATGGGGAAAGGTTAGAACCCGTCAGGTTTTACTGCTGTCCAGAGAGATTTTTCCTCACTTCCTGTCCAGGTGACACCTTTTTACTAGACAGGAAGTGAGGGAAAATCTGCAACGTAAACAGACAACAACAAAAAGTGACAGGGGTTCTAACATTCACTTATTTAAAATGGACCCTTAAAAAATGTAGTGCATGCCGTGACAATACAATGCAGTGACACAGTGAGACACGGTACAACCGCATCACACCACGGTGTGCCCACAGAACTGAACGACATGTCACTTGTGACATTTTAATAAAGTTCAAAGAAAAAGAAAATGTGTTGCGGCTCGATCGAGCACATCGGTACTGTGCGGGCACGCACACACACCAGCAGCTGTACGGCCCTCAGCCTGAGATGCAGGAGGAGAGCAACATGTTAACAAAAAGGATCCTGTCTTGCATCCGCATGACAAATGTTGTTGCGTGCACCAGATTCAGGTACCAGTTGCAAACAGGTACATGAATTTGGAACAAGCAGTGACATTTGTGGTGTGGAGGTGCAATGAGGCTGGAGTGTCCATACCAGACACGCTGTCCTCAGTGCCGCTCAGCTATGCATTACTGAGCTCTACTGGTCACTGCACTTGTCACACAGGCCGGTGTAGTTGTAGAAGACTTATACTGTGGGTGGCCAGAGCCTGATGGGGAACTTTGAGAGCCCAGTTCCCCATCATGTCTATACTGCTGCAAATTGGTAGCAGGCAGTGGGCGGGCACCATATCCAAAAGCAGGCTCTCCGCTCCCAAAGTTCCCCATTAGGCCCACCACTTACATCACGGACAGTGGGCATCCCTGACTTTTAAAGTGACATTAAACCCTCAGATTTTTTAACATAAAACAATAGTGTAATGTGTGCCTTAATGTAATCCATGGTTGTTTTCCTTCTCTTTGCTGCTCTTCCTTTTAAATCTGTATCTGTTCTCATGCTCTGCAGAACTTCTGTTTTGCAGCAGACTGCCTTGTCTCAGGAATGGATATACGGTGTCTGTGTATTAGTTTCTATAGGCTTGTAACCTGAGCCAGCACTACAGGAAGAGGCCCTGAGCTGCAAAGGGGAGTTCTGCAGAGCATGAGAAGACATGAGGATTTAAAAGGAAGAGCAGCAAAGAGAAGGGAAACAACCATGGATTACAGTAAGGCACACATTACAGTATTGGTTTATGCTAAACAATCTGAGGGTTTAATGTCACTTTAAGGATGCTTTTCATATCCTTAACGACCAATAATGCAGCCGTTGGACAGGGCTTGATGGGGAATTCTGAGAACTAGGTTCCCCATCAGGTCTGCTCTGCTGCTGATTGACATCAAGTACTGGGTGGGTGCCATAGCCAGCTATTGGCTATGGCACCTGCCTGCTGTCAATCAGCAGCAGAGGGAACCTAATGGAGAACTTGGTTCTAAGAGTTCCTTATCAGGCTCTACCAACTCAACAGAGACAACTAAATGTAAACAAGGGGGGATGCTGGCTGACATCATTACCCAAATATGGCCATATTTAGGTAATGATGTCAGCCATCATCCACGGCTCCTTTGTTTGCATTCAGCTGCAGGCTGGGGACTTTCCCGCATGGCAGCTGAATGGGAGGGAGGATGCATAATTAGTTAAGGACGCTTTTTTGCACCTCTCTCCCTAATGTTTGCACTACATTCTCTGATATTTTCCCCCTTTCCACACAATGATCTCCCACCACCCTCAATCATGCTAAGCATACCTTATCCCCTCTCTATTGTCAGCTCCCACAGCCTTCTCTATCTTCCTCCAATCAGTATTCATCTCCTCTGTGCCTCCACTCTTTTACTCCCCCTGCCCGTGATCGTTTCACTCTCTGCCTCCTCTTTCTACGGGTCCCCACACACCTTCCGATTATCGTACGAGAATCGCGGGAAATCCCGCGATCGTACGATGATCGTAAGGTGTGTGGAAGCCATGCGACCTCTACTACTGTAAGGTTGCACAACTGCTACTTTTCTGCTTCTTCCCTAATGGTCTATAATTAGCTTCTTCTCTTCCTCTTTTCCCAGTGACCCATGATCAGCTCCATCTCTGCCTCTTAGCATCCTTTCACACCTGTGCCCTGTTTAGTAATGCCCTTTACCATAACATGCAAATTACACATTGGTGTGATTCATTCTGGATGGCACCCTATAGCACCTTACCAGTGCACCTGTGTTGCAGCATAGTGCAACTCACATGGGCTGACAACACAATGCATGTTAAGGTGCAATGCAGCCCACATTAACGTGTGTTTAATACACCACTGTGGACCGGGCTGGTGTAAATGGGCCCTTATAGCGCCACAATCAGTTTACTTTCTCCCCCATATTCAACCATAGGAGCAATGGCACACAACCAAACATAGCTAAAATGAACTAAAATGTATTATCTGAATGTCTGGTAATGCATATCAATGTGTTATGAATCACTAAAAACCAATCAGCCTAAATTAACCCATTCATGAGCAAACTAGATATTACCATTTGTATAGGTGATAACACCAGAGATTGTTAATCCAAGCAATACCTGACTGCTTTAGGGGTTCAGGGAAGATGTATTTCCCTACAAGGAGCAAATTGGACCATGCATTATAAGGGCTTTTTTGCCTTCTGGATCAGCGGTGGGTACATGGTTCTGTAAATGGAGGTTTTCTAGTTATTTATTCTTTTTTTTTCTCTGTTGGTTAACATCAATGGACTTGTGTCCTTTTTCAACCTAACTAAAGCTGGCCATACACCAATAGATTTTCTATGGTCAGATGGAAAAAGTGCAATAGATTAATCCATATATGCTAAACTGTGTGGATGGAGGAACCACTCGCTGGGCCAAGCTTCAGTATCTTGCCAGTTGGCTCCGCTGGCTCTCAAAATACCTCAACAATGCCTGCCTCCAATCAGATTGTTCAGGTATTTTGACAGCAAGCGGGGCCGGCTAGCAAGATACTGAAGCTTGGCCCAGTGGGAGATTCCTCCATCCACACAGTTTAGCGTAGATGGAGAAATCTGTTGCATTTTTTTCATCTGACCACAGAAAATCTGCAGATAACTATGAGCAGGCAGATACAGTCATGGCTAAACATATTGGCACCCATGCATTTCTATCAGATAATGCACCACTTTGCACTGAAAATTGTTGCGATTACAAATATTTAGGCATTCTCATGTTTTTCTTTTGTTTGTATTGGTATGACACAAAAAAGTTGAGAGAAAAAAAAGCCACATCTGACACATTCCACGCAAAACTCAAAAAATGGACTGGACAATTTTTGGAGTTTTACGTGGAATGTATTAAGTATGGCTTTTTTTTCCTCAACTTTTTTGTGTCATACCAATACAAACAAAAGAAATAAACATGATAATGCCTAAACATTTGTAATTGCAACAATGTTCTGCGGGAAGTGGTGCATTATCTGACAGAAATGCAGGGGTGCCAATATTTTTGGCCATGACTGTATGTGTAATTGAATTGTGGATGAACGAGAAGTAAAGGTGCCCATACACTTTACAACCCTCGCAAGACTTTTGTCTTGCGAGGGTTGTAAAGTACTTTAAAAAACATACAATCTGCCCATCTTGGACAGGCAGATCGTACTTGCAATCATCGCAAGCCCGCCCCCCTGAGGGGCGGGCTTACGATGACTGTAATGAGGGGCGGGCTTACGTTGACTGCAAACGGGCAGTGTGTGCGTGCGCACACCGGCCCGTTCGGCAGTTGTCGAACCAGCAGGCCACTAACTCGCTGAGAATCGTACGATTCCCGGCCGGTTTTCTAGCATGCTGGTTCAACGGAAGACGTGCAACCGTACAGTAGAAACGGTTGCACGCCTTCCATACACAGCACGATTCTCGTACGATCGCGGGATTTCCCGCGATTCTCTTACGAGAATCGTGCAGTGTATGGGCACCTTTAGAAATGAAGTAGTTTTACTTGAACAGATATGCAAGACTGGTCATTTGCAATATTGGTATGACTTACTAACCAATACTGTGTCACAATATTGTGAGTGACAGGTAAGAGACCCCCACAACAAAGCTTTATTGAAAAAAAAAAGTAAGTAATAAAGAAGTGTAAATTTGTTTTAAATCTTAGTCTTAGTTATAA